CTCTTTTTTATGTTGGGTATTTTTAAGATAGGCTCTCATGAACCAATTGCCTGGACTGGCTTCAAACCGAGATCCTGCTGTTCTCTGCATCTTGAGCACCTAGGATTACAGGCATGAGCCACTGGCACCTGGCAAGGATTTTTTTTTAAATAAAAGGAAAACCACTGAACTATATAACACAAAGAGCACACCTTAATTTAAGTCACAGAGGGTGTGCTTGCCTAACATTTACAAGATCCCGGGTTCAATCCCCAGCACACACAAAGTAAATAAATACAGGATGGTTTTCAGTGGATAATACATAAATATTCATTTATCAGTTGTAACAAATACACTAATGCAAGATGTTAACAACGGGACATTTCAGACAGGCAGAGTGGCTCAAGTGGTAGAGCACCTATCTAGCAAGTATGAGGCCCTGAGTTCAAATCCCTGTACCACCCCAAGCCCCAAAAAAAAACAATGGGGCACAGTGTCTCTATAGGAGCTGTCTGAACTTTCCACCCAATATTTCTATTAATCTAAAACTGCTCTAAAAAAATAAAGTCTATTAAGTTAAAACAAATTCCCTCCAAAAAAAGCACACATCATGTGATTTTGTTTATATAAAAAATAAAAATGGATCAGAAAAATCCATGCAATTAGAAGTTGGGGTCATGATTACTTTGGGAGGGAGCACATGGGGGCCTTCTGATCCTGATTGGGTTGCTCATGCTACCACATCTGGCCTATTTTGTTCATATGGGGTCTTGCTAAATTTTTGCCTGGTCTGGCCTCAAACCTTGAGTCTCCCCATCTCTGCTTCCCAAGTAGCTGGGAATATAGGTATGAGCCATTATGCCTGGCTACAGAGCAAGATTCTACCCTCACCTCCCCCACATTTTCAGGCTGAGCATGGTGACCCATGCCCATAATCCCAGCTACTTGGGAAGCTGAGGCAGAAGGATCAAGAGTTCATGGCCAGTGTTGGCAAAGTTAATGAGATCCTACCTCAAAAACAATACAAAACAAAAAGGGATGGGGACATGGCTCAAGTGGTAGAGCTCTTGCCTAATATTCGTGAGGACCTGGATTTATTGCCAGTACCACAAAAAAATTATTTAATATATACACCTTTCTGTTTCACCTCTTAAAGTTTTAAGAAACCATTAAAAAGAAAAATAATCTGTCATAGAGAAATGTCCAAATATTTATGTAAATACTCCCCACTTCTTGGGTGTGGGCTATGCATACTGACTTCCTTCCAAAGAGGCAAGGAGTAGCTTTACGGTGGGAAGCATGACAAACACTGTTCAGTCAGCTGGCCAAGGTCAACTGCAATAGTCCTGTTGATAGTGTGTGTGCCCTTGACACGAGAGGGTGTGATGAAACTGATGCTGTACCCCTGAGGTTTTCCTCCCAACAATCCACAACCTTGAGCTTACCAGGAGAGAAACAGCTGGCAAATTCTAACAGCAAACATCCTACAAAACACCTGGCCAGGACTCCTGAAAACTGTCAAGGTCATCAAAACCAAGGATAGCCTGAGAAACTGTCACAGCTAAGAATTATACAGAGACATGATGGGTACTAAATGTCCTATGGTGTCCCAGAGGACAGAAAAAAGGCATTAAATAAACACTAAGGATATCTAAATAAACAATGGACTTTAGTTCATTAATGAGAGAGAGAGAGAGAGAGAGAGAGAGAATGTCAATTTTCTATAAAAACCTAACCCAGCTTCAAAGTTGACCCTTGAGTGAGCTGAACTTACTGGAAAGGCAGACAGGAAGCAGTTTTCCTTTACTCTCAGCAGGTATTCAAGCCACTCTGTCACTCTGTCAGAGTCCCCTTTCTTGCTCCTTGACCTCACAGGTTGATCCTACAGCTTTCTCATTTTCAGGAATAAAAAGCCCATTTGAATCAAAATTTACTTCTCAAATCCAATTTCAGACTTGTCCTAATCCTCTTTTTAGACCTGACCAAGACTTGGATCTATCTTAAGGAGCCTTTTAAAAAATATATTTATCCATTTATTTTTTATTAGCATGTATTCGTTATACAGGGGGATTTATTGTGACAATTCCAAATAGGCTTATATTGTACATTGGTTTTAAGGAGCCTTTTATACAATGAACACCCATGATCACCTAGGTTCATGGGTAGCTGACGTTTCTCAAATGTACTTTCTCTTGACAGATAGTAGATGGGGGGTAGGTAAATAGATAGATAGATAGATAGGTAGATAGATAGATAGATGATAGATGACTGGATGGATGGATAGATAGATAGGATAGATACATGGATGGATAGATGGATACATAGATGATAGATTGGATTGATTATGATAGATAGGTAGGTAGATAGATGATAGTTAGATAAATTGACAGATTAGATAGATAGGATAGATACATGGATGGATGGAGGGATGAATCGATGGATAAATAGATGGAAGTGTATTTTTTGAAGAGTTAGGGATTCGAGTGATGCTCCAGCCTCTGGAGAAGTCACAGCTCCCTGAGTAGCTGAAACTGCAAGTGCAGCCACACCACACCCAACTAGAATTTTTCTTTCCGTTTTCTTTTTCTTTCTTTTCTTCTTCTTTTTTTTTTTTTTTGTCATACTTGCTAGGCAGGCTGTCTACCACTAGAGGAAGCCCTAGTGTACTTTTTAAAAACAGAACCATTTGAAATAAAACCTCACCCCCAAATAACATTGATAGCATTGATCTCTGAGAGCAAGGATGCAGTCATAATGCCATTGTCCACACCTAGGAAAATTAGCACTCACCCCAAATATTCAATTTCCAGTCCATGTTCACATGTCCCTAATTACCCCCAAAATATCTTTTGTATGTTAAATTTTTTTGTCAAATCCAGGATCCAATCAGCTTCACATATTGCATTTGCTTATTTCTTATTTCTTTCTAGTCTCTTGGCTCTAGCACAGACCCGTCTTTTTTTATTTTTCTTCCTAATTATGTTGACCATTTTCAAGAATACAAGCCACCTGGGTGCTGGTGACTCACGCCTATAATCATAGCTACTGGGAGGCTAGGATCAGGAGGATCACAGTTTGAGACTAGCCTGGGGAAATAGTTGGAGCTGTAAGACTTTGTCTTACACAGTAGAGCAACTGCTTTGTAAGCACAAAACCCTAGGTTCAAACCCCAGTTCCACAAGAAAAAAAAAAACAAAAAAACAAGCCAGTTGTCATAAGGAACAACCCACGGCATGAACTTTCTTCATTAGCTTTTGTGTGTGTGTGTGTGTGTGTGTGTGTGTGGTACTAGAGTTTGAACTCAGGGCTTTGGACTTACAAAGCAAGCACTCTACTGCTGGAGCCACACCTCCAGTCCCTTCATTCGCTTTTTTGTGACAGGGTCTTGCTATGTAACCCAGGCTGGCCTGGAACTCCTATGTAGCTCAGGCTTCCTTCAACTCATGGTCCTCCTGCTTCAGTATCTGAGTGCTGGGATTACAGGCATGTACCACCATACCAGGCCTTTGTTAGCATTTTAATTTCATACCATCTCTTAGGAGAGAGGGTGGTGAGAGAGCCTCTCTGTAGAATACAGACTCCTCAAAAATAAAAAAAGGGAGGAAAGGGTGCTTGGTATGTGGTTTGGAGGTAGAGCACTTGCCTAGCATGCAGGAGGCCCCAGGTTTGATCCTTAGTACTACACAAAGGCAGGGGGTGAGGATGCAGAGTCTTTGTCACCTCCTGTTTTCAGATTGGGGACTTGGCCTGAAATTTAGAGAGAGCTGGGACATGCCCACTGCCTGTCTGTTTCCACAGGATAGTGGAGGTGACTACAGATCATCCCTCTGGAGAAGAGCAGTGAGCCTGGTCAGCCCCTGACTGGACACTTTGTCCAGGCGTCTCCCTTCCTCATGGGCACAGTAGGAAAGAAGACTGAACTAGTCCACAGAGCCTAACTTTCTCTCCCAGCATCCCGTCTACCCTTGAAAGAAATAGGTCCCTGGCCTAGTCCCTGAAAGGAGCTGGACATTCCTCCCCAGATCCTCCTGCTTATCCCCAAAGAGCTGTTCCTGACCCCGAAGTAGTAGGTAAAGCTGAGGGATGATGGCCCAAAGCCCAGGATTGATCCTTTCATCCTTGTTCAGTGATTCAGCTTTGATGGCAGGTGACCAGAACAGCAGGACCAATCGGAAAGAGGGCAGAATTTATAAAAAGTCCCTCATCTGGAGCCAGAAGCCCTTCTTCCTGGACTAGTCCCAGCAGCCTGCTGATCTCAAACAGCTGCCTTTAGAGGTAACTTTCTGAGCCTGTTTTCCAGTCCCTGGGATCCCCTACTTAAGTCCTGGGAACTAGAAGGGATGGAGAGGTGGGGCAGGTGTACAAGGCCCGAGGTCTTGTCCTTGTTGTGCTGCTCAGCTCTGGACCTCACTGTCTTTATTTTTAGTCGAGCAGCTAGGCCATCTCTAAGGACCATTACATGGAGTGGAGAGATGGGGAGGGAGTCCTCACCTGGCACTAGAGTAGCCCTGGCTGTGGTGCGGCCCACCTCAGCCTCTAAGACTCTGAGGGGATGGAGACTCAAACTTTGAAGAGGCCCCACCCTTGATAAAGCGTGTTTTCAAGACAAGGGTCATTACAGGACATTTGTTTCATCCCTGGGACCCAAATGTTGCTGTTTGAAGGGGTCAGCAGGGAGCACTGTTAAAAGACCCTTTGGCACAATGCCCAGGGGGCTGCCTGGGGGCTGTCCCGAGCTTCTCTGTTTTTGGATGGTTGTTTGCCTGCACTCCAACCTCAGAATTGGAAAGTAATGGGTGAATAAAAGGTAGAGCCAGTGCTGGGAATTCAGACTCTTGCATTAGCTGCTTTCCAGCCCTCTGATTCTGTGACATGCTAGAGTGAGCTCCAAGGAACGGGATGGCTGTCCAGCTGGGAGCCAGGTGCAGAATGTATGTCAATGCTTTTTGAATAAGTAAGTGAATGAATGAAGGAACGAATTGTTCCATCTCCACTCTCAGCCTCTTTTCTTGTCAGTACAGATGGCACTGCCCCTGTCTGTTCCCTTCTCCGCCATGGAGCTTCTCCTGGCTACTTCCATCTTCTGCCTGGTGTTCTGGGTGATCAGAGCCTTTGAGGCCCCAGGTCTCCACCAAAGGCCTGAAGAGTCCACCGGGGCCCTGGGGCTGGCCCCTGATCGGGCATGTGTTCACCCTGGGGAAGAACCCACACCTGACGCTGGCCAAGCTGAGCCAGCACTATGGAGATGTGATGCAGATCCGAATTGGCTCCACACCGGTGGTGGTGCTGAGTGGCCTGGACACCATCCGGCAGGCCCTAGTGAAACAGGGGGACGATTTCAAGGGCCGACCCAACCTCTACAGCTTCAGCCTTATTACAAATGGCAAGAGCATGACCTTCAACCCAGACAGTGGGCCGGTGTGGGCTGCCCGCCGACGCCTGGCTCTAGACGCCCTCAAGAGTTTCTCCATAGCCTCAGACCCGGTTTCCACAGCCTCTTGCTACTTGGAGGACCACGTGAGCAGGCAGGCTGAGTCCCTAGTCAGCAAGTTCCAGGAACTGATGGCAGAGGCTGGGCACTTTGACCCCTATGACCATGTGGTAGGGTCAGTGGCCAACGTCATCGGTGCCATGTGCTTTGGGAAAAACTTCCCCCAGACCAATGAGATGCTGAACATTGTGAAGATCAGCAGGGACTTCGTGGAGAATGCCACCTCTGGGAATCCTGTGGACTTCTTCCCCATCCTCCGCTACCTGCCCAACCCTGCCCTGCAGAGGTTTAAGAACTTCAACCAGAACTTCCTGGTATTCCTGCAGAAAACAGTCCAGAAGCACTACCAGTACTTTGACAAGGTGAGCCTGGGAGGCAGGTGATTAAGGGGGACCCAAAGGGCCAGGGTGGGTCCCTTGTGCCCAGCTCATGAGCTTACCAAGGCTAGGAAGGCTCTGGGATACTACGAGCAGCTGTGTGTCCAGCAGTAATCACTTCCTCCCTTCTGTGCCTCAGTTTCCTCCTTACAGCCTCCTACTCAGGGCTGCTCAAAGCCCCAGAGTGAAAAAGCCTACAAATGGGGCCCTGGCAGAGCCGTGCAATGGGGAGGGGGGCCCAGTCTGGGTGAGAAGGCTTTTGTTCTTTGGAACCTGAGTCCCAACAGAGGCTAATCCCCAGCTCTGCATGACTTTTCTTCCTGTGTTCGCTCCAACCTCTTCCTCCTTTGAAACTGGACCCCCAGGGTGACTGGGAGGAAGGGTCACTGGGGTATGAATGAAACTTTATGCCTTACTAGGGATGCTATCTGTTTCTCCTGGAAATGTCAGCCCCCCTGGCCCTGGAAATGCCAATGTTGCCTTTAAGCTTCTGTCCCCTTAGAACACTGTCCAAGATATCACCAGTGCCCTGTTCAAGCACAGCCAGAAGAATTCCACAGCCAATGGTGGCCTCATCCCCCAGGAGAAGATAGTCAACATTGTCAATGACATCTTTGGAGCCGGTAGGAGCCAGACTTTCCATCCATCGGTGCCTGGTGTTCACCCCATACCTTGCCCAGCCCTGGGTCTATCAACTAACCTGCCAACCTCAAGCCAGAGGGTATAGGATAAAGACACCTAGCCTGAGATCAAGGTTCGACCCCAAGCTGTGCCACCAACTCCCAGTGGAAACTCAATCAAGTCTCTCTCCTCTTCTGGGCCTCAGCTTCCCCATCTGAACAGTAAAGAGTTCTCTGACCTTGGGCCTTGGGCTAACAGAGGGGCTCAAGCAGTAAGAGTGCCTGCCTAGCAATCATGAGGCCCTAAGTTCAAACCCCAGTACCACCAAAAAAAAAAAAAAGAAAAAGAGTTCTTTGACCTTTAATTATAGGCCGTATAATTCTAGCAGCCACTTATGAAGACAGTGTCTCATATTCATAATCAAGAGACTGAGCCCTGCCCCTCAGAACACTCGTGGTCTAGGGCTGGGGGCCATGGCTCAAGTGGTAGAGCGCCTGTCTAGCAAGTGCAAGGCCCTGAGTTTGAACCCCCAGTATCGCCAAAAAACTATAAAGATAGGAAGGACGGGAGGAAGGAAGGAAGGAAGGAAGGAAAGAAAGAAGAAAGGCAGGCTCAGAAATTCATGGTCTGGGGCCAGAGAAAGATAAAATCTTGCTGTATTCATGAAGTGCACTTGGTAAGTGGTGATTTCCTGGCTTCCTTTCTCTTTCACCTTGCTCCATTGCTGCCAGGGTTTGACACAGTCACAACAGCTGTCTCCTGGAGCCTTATGTACCTTGTGACAAGGCCTGAGGTACAGAGGAAGATCCACAAGGAGCTGGGTATGTGGTGCCCCCAACTCTCTGGCCAGGAGAAAGCTTGGGGCCCCAGGTCATTTATTCAACCTCCAAATACCTGTTGAATGCCTACTATGTGCAAGCCTTGGACATATGATATTCGTTGCCCAGAAGACGTTGGGGGTTGGGAGGTCTCAGGCATGTGAGTACACATAATCCCACATAGAGTGACATGTGTCATAGTACAGGACACAGATGCAAGGAGCTGTAGGAGCAGTCCCCAATCTCTGTTCATCCTTTAATTGGCAGACACGGTGATTGGCCGGGAGCGGAGGCCTCGGCTCTCTGACAGACCCCAGCTGCCCTATCTGGAGGCCTTCATCCTGGAGCTCTTCCGACACACCTCCTTCGTCCCCTTCACCATTCCCCACAGGTTCTGCTGCTTGTCTGCCCTGGGTTCCTCCTCCTAGCTTCTCAACCCTGGCTCAGGCCCATCTGTTTCCTTCCTGGCCATGACACCAGCTTCCTCACAGACCCCCGGCCTCCAGTTCATCCCCATCTTGGAGCTCAGTTCATATTCACTCCTTTTGAGTACCTCTGCTCCTGCTGGGTCCTCCCTGCTGTTTCCATGTGATCCAGTCACCTTCCAATTTTGCTGATGGTGGAACTTCTGCCTGGAAGGTCTTCTACCCACTTTTCTGGTTCCCAGAATCCCTTGTCCAAGGTCAATCATGACATGATTCCCCTCCAGCAAAAGCCGTGTGTGTGTGTGTGTGTGTGTGTGTGTGTGTGTGTGTGTGTGTAGTACTAGGATTTGAACTCAGGACTTCCATGCTTGCTAGGCAGATGCTCTACTCCTGGAGCCATACCTCTAGCCCTCAAGCCTTTTTGATTCTGCGGCTGGCATTACTTTGTCCTGATGTCTTCTAGGACTTATAGCTCCTAGTTAACATTTACTACTGCCCATATCAGTCTAGCTATTCTTGGAGTAGGAGTTTGACACTCCCCAGAGCTGGCCCAGACCACCTGCCTTCAGAGAACAGTCCAGCCCACAGCTGGGCACAGAGTCTAGTGAACATGTGTTGAAGCTGAAAAGCAGAAGCTGTGGAATGAGGAAAGAGAGGATAATCCCCTTTTTCCCTGCCCTCGTGCTCCTTCCCCATGTCCAGGGCAGATATTGGGATGGGATGGAGGGGGGAACAAACCCACCCCAACTTTTCCAGCCCCGAGTCTGACAGAGCCACCCTCCCTCCTCAGCACGACAAGGGACACCACACTGAAAGGCTTCCACATTCCCAAGGAACGCTGCATCTTCATAAACCAGTGGCAGGTCAACCATGACCAGTGAGTACTCGTTCTCACGGAGACGCAGGTGTGGCTGGCAGGAGCTGGTGAAATAATGTCTGGATTGCTCTATAGCCTGTTCTAAGTGACAAGTTTAGATCTGTGTTTCTCAAATAAGAATTGACCAGGAAGTTCGTTAAGATTATGCCCTGCTTCCCACGATTCTACTTTAGTAGACAAGAGAGAGTACCTCAAGTGACTCTGACGGGAATAGCCCAGTCCCGTCTCTTTGGAAAACCCCACTCCAGTCTATGGATAGGGGAACCCTAGAATTTGCCATTCAAACTGGGACACTTCTGTGTATGAAAGTGTCATCCATATTTGTGCTGTCGGTAATTATTCCAAAACAGTAAGCAAAATGGTTGATTTCCCTTGCTATTGGCATAATTTGAGTAGAATCAAAAGGACAAAAAAAAAAAAAAAACATGTTTTCCTTCTTTTAATTTAGTTTAGAGAAAGCATTATTTCATATACGTATATGGAACATTCCACAAATTGAGTGTCACCCTTGCACAGGAGCCATGCTAATCTGTATTGTTCCAATTTTAATATATGTGCTGCTGAAGTGACCACCATTATTTCTTTATAATAGCAAGTTAGACTGGGTACCACTGGCTCACGACTGCAATCCTAGCTACTCAGGAGGCAAAGATCAGGAGGTTAGAAGTCAGCAAATAGTTCTCAAGACCCTATTTTGAAAAAAAAAAAAAAGGGCTGTTAGATTGGCTCAAGTGATAAAGTGCCTGCCTCGTAAGTGTGAGACCCTGAGTTCAAACTCCAGCACTGCCAAAAAAAATAAAATAAAATAGCAAATTAGGACTGGGCATGTAGATCAGTAGTAGTTTATAGTTAGCATATGTGAGGCCCTGGGTTCGATCTCCAGCACTGCAAAAACAAATAATTAACAGTAAAAAGCACGGTGTTCAAGATGTCATTTTCGAGAGAGCTTTCCTGTTAAGCTCTTGTTAGCCTCAATCTGTTTTAACACGGGTTCTCAACAGAAGACTGTTCAGAAATCCCCCACCCCAGGCTTTCCTTCCAGGCAGGGATCCTATCTCCTGTATTCCTCTTGCAGGAGACATGGGGGGACCCCTCTGAGTTCCGCCCAGAGCGATTTCTTACGGCCAACGACACAGCCATAAACAAAACCTTAAGTGAAAAGACCATGCTGTTCGGCTTGGGCAAACGCCGGTGCATAGGGGAGACCCCAGCCAAGTGGGAGGTCTTCCTCTTCCTGGCCATCCTGTTGCATCAGCTGGAGTTCAGCGTGCCACCAGGCACGAAGGTGGACCTGACCCCCATCTACGGGCTGACCATGAAACATGCCCGCTGCCAGCACTTCCAGGCACGGCTGCGCCTCTCCAAGTGAGGAAGGCCAGGCCATGCTGAGGCCGGGGAGGGGCATCCAGGGGGCCTCAGTCCGTGCTTCTTCCCCTTTCTTCTTAAATGCCAACTTTATTGAGCTATAATTCTTATAACTCATTGTATAACTATCATAGTTTTAAGACAATCTCTGTCACCCACACTAAAAACCCATACCTGTGAAATGCTTTTCATGACTGGTCCTGCTAACTTGTCTCTACTGCCCCACTAGCTACTGGTCTATTTTCTGTCTTTATGAATTGGCCTATTCTGGACATTTCATATAAATGGAGTGGTACAATCTGTGGTCTGTGACCAGCTTCTTTCACTTAGCATCATCCTTTCAAGGTTTACCCATAGCCCTGTTTTTTTAAGTCCTATGACCAAGCCTGGGTCTGTTTCATTAGTCATTGTAATCGCTGCCTTTCTTGCTCTCTCTTCCCTCTGTTCTTGTTTGACCCAAGTCTTTGAATACCTGAAAGGGACAGGGAAGAAGTGATCTAGCCTCATGGGCCAAATTCACATGGATGAATAGGGATTCTTCATGTCTCATCCTCAAAAAGTAGAATATGTGACTTCTCACCAGGCCTTGATTTGTTCAAGCACAACCAGGGGAGAATAGCTCCCAGGAAGTGTTTGGGTTACCTGCAAACAACCGTCTCATCAAAGGACGCTATCAAGAGGGTGACAAAATGACTCTCAGAATGGAAGAAAATGTCTGCAAAACATAATCTGATAAGGGGTTAATATCCAGAATATACAAAGAACTCTTACAACTCAAAAAAAAAAAAAGTAAGCCAATTAAAAAATGGACAGACTTGAATAAAAATTCTCTAAAAAGAAAGATATCCAAATGACCGATAACCCCAGGAAAAGATGTTCACTATCATTAGTCATAGGGAAATATAAATCAAACCACAGCAAAGCCAGATGTGGTAGTACACATCTGTAGTCCCAGCTACTTTGAAGGCTGCGGCAAGAGGGTCCCTTGAGCTCAGGAGTTCAAGACCAGCTTGGGCAACATAGCAAGACCATGTCTTAGAAAAAAAAAAAAAATTAAGATCTGAAGGTGTGGCTTAAGTGGTAGAGCACTTGCCTAGCAAGCATATGAGGTCCTGAGTTCAAACCCCATACCATCAAATAAATAAATATTTAAACAAATGTTTAAAAATTCGCAATGAACTAGTACAGGATGAAAAATGGTAAGTGTTTGTAAGTATATGGAGAAATTGTAACTCCCCCACCATGTGTTGGTGGGAATATAAAATGATTCAGCCACTGTGAAAAATGGCTTGGCAGTTCATCAAAATTTAAACATAAAATTATCTTACGATCCAGCAATTGCACTCCTACATATATATCCTAAAGAACTGAAAACAAGTTTTCAAACAAAAACTTTTGTCCAGACACAGTGGTACATACCTGTAATCCTTACAACTCAGGAAGCAGAAACAAGAGAATAGTGAGTTCAAGGCTACCCTGGGCTACACAGCAAGACTGTCTTAAAAAAAAAAAAAAGACTGAGGATGTATCTCAGTGGCAAAGTACTTGCCTACCATGTGTAAGGCTCTGAGTTCATTCCCCATTATGGCAAAAAAGAAAAAAGTACACGTGGGGCTGGAGATGTGGTTTAAACAGTAGAGGGCCTGCCTTGCAAGCACAAAGTCCTGAAGGTCAAACTCCAGTACCACCACCAAAAAAAACCAAAACAAGTTGGACTGGTGGAGTGGCTCAAGTGATAATGCCAACCTAGCAAGCAGGAAGCCAAGTTCAAACTCCAGGACTCCCAAAGTAAAGTACATGAGCCAGGTGCAGTGGCTCACAGCTTTAATTCCAGCTACTCAGGAGGCAGAGAACAGGAGAATCAAGGTTCAAGGCCCACCTGGAAAAAAGTTAACAAGCCCCCATCTCAATAAACAAGCTAGGCGTGGTAGCAACACATCTGTAATCCCAGTTACATGGGAGGCCTGGAGAGGATCGTGGTTCAAGGTCCATCCTGAGCAAAAGACACAGACACTATCTGAAAAATAACCTAAAGCAAAAAGGGCTGGAGACGTGGCTCAAGTGGGAGAGCACCTGGCTCGTTAATGAAGGACCCCGAGTTCAAACCCCAGTCCCGCCAAAAAAAAAAAAAAAAAGTACAGGAACGATTGTTCACTGCACCATTATTCACAACAGTGGGAAGATGGACAGAGGCCAGTGTCCACCAGTAAATACCTGGGTAAAGAAGACCGTGAGTAGGGCTGTGGCTGTGGCTCAAATGGTGGAGTACTTGCCTAGCAAGCATGAGGCGCTGTTCAAAGCCCAGCACCACCAAGAAAAAAGACTCAGTAAGTGCACAGAAGGGATAATTCAGCCGCAGGAAGGCGTGACAACCTGGGTCAGGCTATATTGTGAATAAACCCTTAAAACATTATGTAAAGCAAAATAAGCCAGACACAAAAGGAAAAACTATTGAACAATATCACTTACAAGAGGTACAGGAAGTAGGCACGTTCACAGAGATATAAAGGAGAATAGAGGTTCTCAGAGGCTAAGAGGAGGCAAGATGGGGAGTTATTTTAGTGAAAACAGAATTTCTGTTTGGGATGATGGAAAAATTCTGGAAATTGAGAGTGGTGATGGTTACATAACATCGGTGTAGCTAACGTCACTGAATTGTATGGTTAAAAAGATAAGTTTTATGACTGCTTTTATCACAATCTTTTTTTCTGTAGTGGGATTTGAACTCAGGGCTTTGCGCTTGCTAGGCAGGTGTGCTACCACTTGTGCCACTCCTCCAACCCTCTTGCTTTAGTTATTTTTCAGGTGGGGGCTCATGCTTTTGCTCAGAACTGGTTTCAGACCACGATCTTCCTACATACATCTTCAACTTAGGTGAAACCACAGATGTTCATCACCACACCTGGCTTACTGACTGAGATGGGGTATCAAGAACTTTTTATTCCAACTGACCTGGAACTGTGATCCTCCCCGATCTCCGATCCTGACTAGCTGGGATTACTGAGGTGAATCACTTCACATGGGTTTTTTTGTTGCTTGTTTTTGAGAAAGGATCTCTATGTAGCCCATGCTGGCCTCAAACTCTCTGTCCTCCTACCTCTACCTCTCAAGGTGTGGTAGGCTAGGTTGGTGTGCCACCAACCTAGGACCACAATCTTTCTAAAGGAAAGTGACAAAATAAAATATTGTGTGTGATAAAAAGAGATGAGTTATCAAAGTCACAACAACACATGGGAGAACATTAAACGCAGATTGTTAAGTGAAAGCCAATCTGAAAAGGTTACATACTGTATGATTTCAACCCTACATCTGGAAAAGGCAAAAGTATGGAAACAGGCCAGGCATAGTGGCACATGCCTGAAGTCCTCAGGAGGCTGGGGCAGGAGAATTGTGAGTTCGAGGCTAGCCTGGCCTTCGTGGGGAGACCCCATCTCAAAGAAAAAAAAACCTGGGGCTGGCAGAATGGCTCAAGTAGTAGAGCGTCTGCCTAGTAAGCCTAGCAAACATGAGGTCCTGAGTCCAAGCCCCAGTACCACCACCAAAAAAAAAAAAAGAAGAAGAAGAAGAAAGAAAGAAAAGAGAAAAAAATCCAGACTTGGTGGCTCGTGTCTGCAATCCCAGCTCCCTGGCAAGGAGATTGGGAGCATGGAGTTTCAAGGTCAACCTGGGCAAAAAGTTAGTGAGACCACCATCTCAATCAACAAGCTGGTATACATCTGTAATCCAAATATGTGGGAGGCTTGGGGCTTGGGTAAGAGGATTGTGATCTGAGAGCAGCCCCGGGCAAAGACCCTATCTGCAAAGTAAGTAAAACAAAAAAGGGCTGGGGTATGGCTTAAGTAATACAGCATCTGCCTAGCAAGCAAGAGGCCCTTAGTTCAAATCCCATTACTGAAAACAAACAAACAAGAAACACCTTAGAAGCCGGGCACCAGTGGCTCATGCCTGTAATCCAATCTACTCAGGAGGCAGAGATCAGGAGGATCGTGGATAGAAACCAGCCTTCAAGTATATAGTTCATGAGACCCTATCTTGAAAAAAAACCCATCACAAAAAAGGGCTGGTGGAGTGGCTCAAGGTGTAGGCTCTGAGTTCAAATCCCAGTGCCACCAAAACACCACATCATCCAACAGTCATCCCACCATCTGACCTCATGTGCACCAAAGTTGGCCTGAGCAGCACACCTTGTCAATCTTTAACTGACTGTCTGAGGGTTTCTTTCTAGTCAGAGCCAAGGTAGGATGACTGGAACACAGACTTTGCTCCCTTGGTCACTGTTCCTGTCCTCAACTGGGGCATACTGGGCCAGTTCTGTCTTGCCCCTCTCTGGGAAAGCCTTGGACATGCACTGTCACAGTCTGTTCTAATGACCCTAGAAGGTGAGCACTGCTATATCCACTCTGGAGATAAGGAATCTGAGGCTCAGAGGGCACAAGCTCACATTGGTGCAGCAGGGACTCGGGAAGGTACCCTTTCCCTCATACGCATCCCGGGGCTCTTCCCTGCATGTCCTACCCATGAGTCAGGACCGCCTGGACAGAAATGCAACATGATCAGTGGAAAGAGTAATTGGCAGGAGGGTTAGGAGACCTGGGTGACCTTGAGTAAGTCCCTATCTTCAGCCACCTCTGAACCCGAAGATCAGGGAACCAACACTAGCACCTGCTCTGTCAGCCTTGCTTGTTGTGGGCAAAACCCAGTGCAGTGTATTGGGGAGGGGTAATTTTGGCAGAGGGAATGGTAGAAAATTCACTGGGCTGGGAATCCCTCCTCTGTTCCCCAGGGGGAAGTAAGGAACTCTCTAGACCTCCATGTCTGCCCACTTCAGAGCTCCATTTTCTTTTTAATGGCAATACTGAAGTTTGAAATCAGGCCTTAATGCTTGCTAGGCAGGCGCTCTAACACACGATCCATGCCTCCAGCCCCTTTTGCTTTAGATTATTTTTCTGATACGGTCTAGTTTTTTTGGCTAGGGCTGGCCTTGGACCAACCCTCCTTCTCCCT